CCCACACAGTCCCACCTCTCCAGCCTGTCCAGCTCCCTCTGGATGCCATTCCATCCCTCAGGGTTGTCAACCACACCACATCTTCCTGCCACCCCTTCTTTTACAAAGCTCCACCCCACCCATCTTATCCACATTTTTGGTTTTTTCTGTCAGCCTCTCACACTCCTGACTCCCATTTCATTCCTCTTGCTTCACACTTCTGGACACCTCTGGCTGTTTCTCTCACCCTTCCAGGCTCTGCAAGATCCTTCTAAATTTTCAATTAATCAAGATTTTAGTTTTCCAGGGTCGGCAGAGAGAACTGAAGATGGTGGGCAAGATTATTTACAGTATTCCAGCCTGGACACAGTATGGTTTTATATTATTGCCAAAATAACTGGAGTAAAAATAATGCAGAGCAGGAGATTAAATGAGTTTTGAAAAAAAAAATAATTACTACCTATTTACCGATTGCACTGAGCAGGGAATGTTTATTTTTCATTTTACAGAAGCCTGACAACAACCAAATGAAGTTAATTCTTCCCTCACACGAAGGACATCAGAGCAGGTGTAAACTGGAAGTTTTTGGAAGTTTTTGAAAGCACAGCACAACATCAACCACCCCCTATCCACAGTCAGCTGTTGCTTTCCTGTACAGATCCATCTTTCCAAAGGAAAAGTCGAAGCTTTGTGACAAGGGGAGGCTCCCAAGTGGCAGAGAGGAGCGTGTCAGGCAGGGAAAAGGAGGAAGCTCCAGCCACTCTCCCAGGAAAGCAGCCAAGCCTGGTCCCGTGCCCTGGACTTCTGAGTATCCAAGGCCACCACCCACCAAAAAGCAACAATGAAAAGAATTTTTTCCCCCTTGAAAAGGACTCACTTTTCCTCTTTTCACATCTATTCAAAATAGAAAGCAAATGCGGTGGAAGGCAGTTCCCCAGGAACTGTAAATGAGTTTCTCTACCCAAGGAAAGCACCCAATTATTCCCAGTATCCGCTCATACTGCCTGGAAAGCACTTTTTGGTGACCTGAATTAAAGTGTTGTGCTCAGTGAATAGCCCAGACACCCAGTGATCCTTTTTGCTAAAGATTTTGGGCTGTTTGCACCCAAAAAATCCCAGATGAAGTGTTAACTACGGCATGGTCACCCTGCAAACTGCACAACAAGCCTTGTTGTGGACACAAAGATATCCTTCATTTTACCAACAGGCCATAAAATCGCTGCAACCTGATCCCATGTTTTGGCAAAACAACTCCAGCACCTTTGCTCAATAAACATTTCCTTGAGAGGAAGGGAAGTTTCCAACCTTCCCTCCTTTTCAAATCTCAAGGGTATGGGATTAAAATGCAAAATCAAATCCTGGAAGAGGTGCTTGTTTCATTCCCAAATTTAAAACTTCTGATCTGAAGTTTATCTCTCCCAAAAGATCATCTCCCACAACACTAAAGAGCAAAAAAAGCCTCATCAACTTCTTGTTGGGTTCATAATATTCCTTTGTAATGGGAACTGCAGGATGGTGCTTCTGCTCCACAGGAAAACAGACATTCTGAATGTAATTCAGGATAAGGAAAACTGCAGCTCAGGGACAAGAAAAAAACTCCTTTGTTCTGGTTTCTTCTTCAGCACTTATCTCTGATATTACAGGGCAAAATAACTGGAAGGCCCTGGAGAGGGGGAACAACAGCAGTAAAGAAGAAAAGTAGAGAGAGAAGACAAAAATCCCCCTCAATAATCTCTCCGAATAAAGCACTATCACAGGACAATTCCTTGTTTTCTCGTGGAAATCTCAATTTTGGGATTCGTTTGGCAAGAACACAGGTACCTGCATGGCTGATGTTCTCAGCACATCTCCCAACTGCTCCCTTATTTCCATCCTTTCCTGCTGTGTAAAGAACTAAAGGGACATTATCCCACCTACACAAGTTGAAAACAACCCGAGGAAAATTAATCACAGAATCTCAGAAGGGTTTGGGTTGGAAAGGACCTTAAAGACCATCTTGTCCCAAACAAAAAAGGGACACCTTCCACCAGACCAGGTTGCTCCTGACCTTGAAAACTTCCAGGGATGGGGCTTTGTAATTCCTTTCAGTGAAAGCCACTGGAGAGAACACAACACAAAGATAAGGATCAGATCCTTGAAAGGCCAAACCTCCAAAAACCATGAATAAATCAGCACAGCACAAACCAGCACAGACAGAATTTACACTTTCTGTCACCACAAAGAATCCAACAGGCAGACTCAGAATGATACAGGATTATGCAAAACTTCCTTTAAACTCTGCTCCAGACTCCCTGAGCAGCTCTGCTCTGGCCAGGATTAGGCTGTTTCACAACACCACCGCTTTTATTTCCTCTCGTAAGGTTTCAAAACATTTCGCAACCGCTGCTACTCCAAAGCAAACAAACACTCCTACTCAGCACGGCTGCCCAGTGACAGCCAGGAAAGGCAAACCCCTGCTTCCCACTGGAATTACTCCTCTTTTTCTGTCAGCTGGATGTGTGGAGTCAGTGGCATGGTGAAAACAATGGCACAGGATCGGAGAATCCTGGAATGGTTTGGGTTGGAAGGGACTTTGAGGATCATCCAGTTCCACCCCCTGCCATGGGCAGGGACACCTTCCACCAGCCCAGGTTGCTCCAAGCCCTGTCCAACCTGGCCTTGGACACTTCCAGGGATCCAGGGACAGCCACAGCTTCTCTGGGCAATCTGTGCCAGGGCCTCACCACCCTCACAGCCAGGAATTTCTTCCCAATATCCAATGTAAACCTACTCTCTCTGTCCATGTGAAGCCATTCCCCCTTCTCCTGTCATTCCATGCTCTTGTAAATAGTCCCTCTCCAGCTTTCTTGGTGGCTCCCTGCAGGTACTGGAAGGCCACAATTAGGTCCAGGAGACCCAACTTCTCCCCTACACCCCAGAAAAATGGGAATTATTTAAAACAAAAGGCCACTCCTCTATTACTGTCCCTGGATTTGCTCTGTGGGTATCTCAGTGCTGGTGGATTCCTCATTTCCTCCTGAGACACAACCTGTCAGAGATCAAAGGCATGAGAAGCTCTGCTGAGAAGAAAACAGGAAAAAGTGGGAATCACAAAAGGGAAGGCAGAAAATACAGAGCACGGGAGTCAAAGCATGAGGGTGGTACCGAAAAAAATCAGCTTTGCAATCTATCAAAATCCAGTGCAAACCAGTTATCCTAATTTTTAAATGCTCTGATCCATCTGGACACACCTGTGCACAAAATGACACCATTTCTCTCTTATTAAAAACCAGTCCATGCTCCTCACCTATACTGGGAACTGCAAGAGTAAAAAATAAACCAAAAATAGATGTTACAAGAGGCCAACAATAAATCAATGGTGAAAAATTAAAAGGGAAAATAAGGAGACATCTCGAATTTATTGCCTGAAATGAAGCAAGATGACTCCCAAACACGGACTTTTAAGGAAATAAAGCCATTGGAATGACACTTATTAAAAAAAAACAAAACAGAAGAAAGATTCATTACAGAGCTGGCAACAGCTCAAAGCACAAAATTCCTTGAAACCATCTCCCCTCATACAGACAGACCCAGCTGCTGCAGCACCAGCACAGGGAACCCTGGCCAGGGGCAGGGCCCTCTGGATCAGGGGGTTTGCCCCAAAAACCTCCTCAGTTCTTACAGGACTGCTGTCATCATGGAACCATGGAATGGGTTGAGTTGGAAGGAATTTTGAAGATGATCTCATTCCATCTCCCTGCCATGGGCAGGAACACCTTCCACTAGACCAGGTTGCCCCAAGGCCAGGTTGGACATTTCCAGGGATCCAGAGGCAGCTTCTCTGGGCAACCTGTGCCAGGGCCTCCCCACCCTCCCACTCAGCAATTCCTTCCCAATATCCCATCCATCCCTGCCCTCTGGCACTGGGAAGCCATTCCCCCTTGGCTTGTCGCTCCATCCCTTGTCCCAAGTCCCTCTCCAGCTCTCCTGGAATCTTCTCTTCTCCAGGTGAACCCTTTAGGCCCTGTAAGGGGCTCTCAGCTCTCCCTGGAGCCTTCTCTTCTCCAGG